GGGTAGTGCAAGTTGGAAGCTAAAGGTTTCTCATATGTATTTTATAGTAAATAAGCGATATATATATCTACATATCTACTTTTGTAATTAAAATTAACACATGCATGTATTGAAGTAAAAATCAATATAGTTACATGTAATATCAATACATACATACATACATACGTATGTAGTATGTACGTAAGTAATTTTATTTATGAGCTCCACACTATCCAATTCTTAATATTTACAATTTTATTTTATGACTTATTAAAGAAAATCATTGCCAAGGTAAATTAAGGCGAAGTCATGCTTGGCTGCTGCAGATCAATGACGAGCGATTTGCCTGCAGCGAAAACATTTAATGCTGAATTAACTAAATGGTGTTGAGATGTGATTAGTTTTGTGTATTTTAATATGTATACATACATATATGTATATAAGTATGTAGCTATATGTACTAGCGTACGGACATACATACATACATACGCACATATGTACATATGAAGATATTAATTTATTTAAAACTGGGTCGTATTCGTGAACGCCATGATTTTGTATCTACATATGTACTTATGTACGAACGTATATATAAACATACACATGTATGTATAAATCTGATACTTTTGTAATTATTACCTATATAACATCTTTGCCAGGGCGCTTTGTTTAACTATAGGTCTATAATTGCAATTATCATTGCTGTCGCCAGACTTAAATATAGGATTTATTGAGCATAATTTCCACGAATCTAAAAAAGTTCCGCAGTTCAGGGAGGGGCGATAGGGCATTCTTCAACCAAAATCTGAGATTGGGCGGTTTCAAACTGGCTCCTGAGATATGTCGATCTTCCACTCAGCCACCGATATGTATGTCGAATCGAGCTTTCTGGTACTATTTTTATCCATTTCCGCGGTGAACGTAGAAAATTTCACTTTCAACTGTGTAACCAGAAATTTTTATGCCTATTAGAAAAATTTTTAATGACTCGAAAAATATATTAAAAAATTAAAACTATTTCCATAACCGTTCAGTACTGTTCTTAACGGTTAAAATAAATTAATAAGTCCCGGCTTAATCAGAATTACCCCGATGTACAACGTGATTAAAGGGATGAACTATAGCAGAATGCCCACTTAATAATATTAACTTAATATTAACGCAATATATTTATTTCATATCAGGATCGGCCTAATTAACGTTCATCTAACATTGAAGAATTTTACCGAATGGCAATATTTATACCGCTATTTCATAATATTAATATTAATAATTAAAGAGACATTAAACATTTTTGATTCCATCCAAAATTGGGAATATATTACGCTATATGAAAATATAGTGCTTTCGAACGCGATAAGAATTTGTTTAGAAAAAGACGCTATCAATTTGGAAGGAGAGTTTAAAGTGTGGCCAGATCAATGGAAAAATAAGGTAAGCGAAAAGCAATTCCCAAAATTAGCAGCAGAAGGTCTTAGTAGATACGACGAATATAGTTTTCCGTTGACTAACTAATTTCTCCGCATTCTGACCACGCTTCCAGCTAGTAACGCTACTTCAGAAAGAAGTTTTTCAACCCTTCGCCTGTTAAAAACATGGTTGCGTAATACTATGAATGAAGAAAGACTGATAGGTCTAGTACCTTTACACGTACACTTAGATATTAAAATTGACACTGAAAGGATAATAGAGAGACTCGCAAAAGGAAAGCGCAAACTTGAGTTTGCAATTTAAAGTATTATAATGAAAAGAGGAGAAGCTCGGCCAAACACTAACATATGCGTAAGCGCCAATCCATTATTATTATTATTATTATTATTATTATCATTATTATTATTAATCAAAATTCTCGTTAAAAAAGTTGTTAAGTTACCTAATTATATCCTTTATTTGACAAACACTGTAAGCAAGAAATAGGTAAATATATATTACTTTAATAAACCCAAAGTATAACTTTTTATATTGAGTTTTTTTTACAAAATAATATTACTGTTTTAATACAGGGGCCACTGTAATTGGCACAGGCACCAAATTCACAAAATGAATATTCCTAAAAGTAAAATGATTACTTCACACACCCTAACTATTACTCGAATCTCTATTTGCATGGAAAATAAATGAGAGTTCGAGCAGTTGGGATGATTGTAGGTCATAGAGCTCAAACTTTGATTGGTCACCCGCTGGTGAATTAATTTAGATGCCCGTAATTTAACGTTATTTGATAGTTTGATCCCAATCGCCCTTTGACGGCACAATTCCTTTCCTGGTCTTTAAGCTTTCGTTCGAGAAGACAGATACAGCAAATTATTGGAACATGGAGGATAAATCCGCTGAGCTGTTCGTTGCATTAAAAGGACCAGCAGCGGAAATCTTGCAATCTATTCCTGACTGTGAAAGGAACAGTTACGAAGCGTTAATGGGTGCAGTGGAAAGGCGTTATTGTAGCGAGCACAGGAGACAGATGTACCAGATGAAGTCGAAGAATCGCTGCCAAAAAGCCATCGGGAGTCTACGTGGATTCGCCTTAGAGATCGAGAGGTTGGTTAGCACCTCGAAAGGGTAAAAATCCAGAGGTTCATCAACGGAATGCGAGACATACAAAGCGAGAGACGTATGCAAATCCAAAGCCAACATTTGCTGAAACCATCTCGTATGCTCAGACACGTGAAACGGCTATACTCCTAAATAGACCAACCTACAAAACCCGAGTGCAAGTGGAGACACTGGATGAGATAAATGAAATTCTGAAGAATCTAATCACGCTACTGGGTGCGATGAAAGACGGCTTTGGCAAATGTTTTAAATGTGGCTAGCCAGGCCACTTCGCCCGCGATTGCAGCGCAAGTTCCTTTGGGCTCGTAATTCTGCAGGACGAAAACGCAGAGCTGAAGGAGACGAACCCTACTCCAATCAGTCGTTAAACTAAAACGAGCCAGCAGGAAGGGGCGTGCGCTGTTTCCCGCAATTGAATGCCGCATAATTTCCGTCTCGAGAATTGGCAGAAAAGCGAGCAACGTTACTGTTGGTAAATATGTGGACGGGCATGAGCGAGTACCAACCGATACGGGCGCATCACTTTAGATCATTCGATTTGATTTGGTCAGTCGGAAGGGTTGGAAGGAAAATACCAGCACAATTCTAGGAAACTTAACCACAGATACTCCAACATATTCAACAAGGATAGCAACAAACCCACGTTGGGAAACTGGCGATGCAAGGCCAATCCGTCAAGCTCCTCGAAGTGTTCCACTTGCCAAACGTGACGCTGTAATCCTGATCATAAAAGAAATGAGCGAGAGCGGCGTGATTGAACCATCAGAGAGTCCATGGAGTTCGTCGGTAGTACTTGTGAAGAAGAAGGATGGTCAAAAGCGGTTCTGTGTAGACTACAGGAAACTAAATGATGTGACGAAGGAGGACAGCTATCCACTTCCCAGGATCGAAGATATTCTAGACTCGTTGACTGGAACAAAGTTGTTCTCAACACTCTACCTTAACAGCGGTTATTGGCAAGTGGAGGTATATGACGAGGACAGGGAGAAGACAGCTATCAAAGTTGGAGATGGTCTTTGGCAATTCACGGTGAGGCCTTTTGGATTATGCAACGCTCCTGCCACTTATGGACCATGTGCTTAAGGGACTGTATTCGAAAATATGTTTGGTGTATCTAGACGACATTATCGTATTGGGTAAAAGCTTTGAGGAACACCTGAATAATTTGGAAGAAGTTTTCTGTAGGATAGCTGGGGCTGGTCTGAAGCTAAGTCCTAAAAAGTGCCCACTGTTCAAGAACGTCCTTGTGGTTATGGACTACTTTAGCGAATGGCCAGAGTTACACTCGATTCCAAACCAGGAAGCTAAGACAGTAGCGGAGGTATTCACCTACAATTGGGTTGCGAGATACGGTGTACCTATAGAACTACACTCTGACCAGGGAAGAAATTTTGAATCGGCGGTGTTGCAAGAGATGTGCCAGATACTGGATATCCGAAAAACTCGAACAACGCCTCTTTATCCCCAATTAGATTGCATGGTGGAACGGTTCAACACCGAACCCTGGGAGAGCATTTGCGCATCTTCCTGATGGGATACCGGTCAGCACTGCATGGAACCACGGGTGAAACTTCTGCCAAGGTAATCTTTGGCAGTGAACTTCGTTTGCATAGTGACCATTCCGTTTGCCTAGTGGAACATTTCTTCAAATTTAAGCTTAGTATCCAGCTCTTAAGAAAAGCAAAACCTCCATATAAAATTACGTACAAGAAATGGCTAAGAAATTTTCTTGAGTCAAATTTCCTTAAGGCAGTACGCAGTTCTTCAGAAATTTAGTACGCTTTCTACTACGGTTTTCTAAAGTTTTTTGTGAAAAAAGAGCACAAGGCAACCCAGGTTTGCAACAGAAATATATGCCCGTTCCATTATTTCTTGAGGAAAGAGTGAGGCAACAGGCTGTGCGTTATCAAAAATGTCAAAATTCCTTGGACACACACGCGAAATAATGGCAATTTTTTCTTGACCGTTTTCTTAAGAGCTGGATACTAAGCTTAAATAAGTAAAAATTTCACTACTAAAAATTTAAAAATGTTCCTAATATTTGCAAAGAAAATTGGAAAAGAAATATCACTGTATTTGTTTTTAGAAGTAGTGTGGGAGTGTCATTGATAAAATTAGAGTGAGAGAAAGTTTTTCCTACAAACCCTTTCATTATTGAATCATGGTTTCTTTTTTCTACCATGACACCATTGTATCATGTTAAGAATGTGCCCGTGGGAATGGGGTGAATCGCGATCGTTATTGGGGAACCGAACAAATTAATTCAGGATGACGTGGGAAAATGGGTTAATAGTGCCGTTTATTCTTTAATACTGATCAATTATGCATCGATTATTGTGTTAAAAAAAAATCCCTTTTGTATTTATAATTTCCTTTTTTATAATTTTTGCTGCAAAATGTCACTCAAATATGGAAATTACCCACAATCTGGTATCACTGATTGACCATATGTTGATTTATCCAGCTGACATTTCAGAACTTTGAAAATTTGTTTCACAGTTTATGGAATATATCAAAATTTTTGCACATAAAAACGGCAATTGAAGAACAATTTTATTAAAAACAAATTATCTTCAATCAATTAAAACTTATTTGTAAAACCAAGAAAACACCAAAAATGCAACATTGCTATAATCGTGGCTGCGGACAAACGTTTGACCCAGAAAAAAATTCAGACGGTGAATATTTTTAGCAGGAACATTCTGGAAAGGAAGAAAATATATGAGTTTTTTTTGTATGCAACATTCTCACAGAATCCTGTCGTCACCATCCCGGAGCTCCTTACTTCCATGACGCCTACAAAGGTTGGTCATGCTGCAATAAAAAATCTGTAGATTTTACAGAATTTTTGAGCATCAAAGGCTGCACGCTCTCAAAGCATTCGAATATCAAACCGCCTGAGCCGGAGAAACCCGAAAGGAACGATGATGACAAAAATGAAGTTATAGAAGTGCGATCGCCTATTAAGGAGTCAATGGATCGGCCACCCATTGAAACTCCAATGATTGTTGTACAACCAACAGTCGCTCAAGCATTAAAAGATGCCATAGATACACTGAAAGTGAAAGTTGGCGTTGCTAACGAAGCCACCACGGACTCTGGGTATAAAATAATTTAAACCTTGCACGTTACACATTTTTAATTGTTTCCTTCTTTAGCGCCATCCCCATAGGTACTTCTTGTAAAAATAAAGGCTGCACATGCTCGTTTACTGGAACTGCGGCTGATCATGGCGAGTGCGTTTATCATCCTGGTGTTCCTATTTTCCACGAAGGCATGAAATATTGGTCGTGCTGTCAACGCAAAACAAGTGATTTTGCTGCATTTATAGCGCAAAAAGGCTGTGCATCCGGTGAACACAAATGGTTCAAAGAGGTAATTACGCAACTTGGAGCTGGCATAAACTTAGTACACAACTTTTTTCCCTTTATTTATTTCAGGATGACGACAAGCAAGTAGTAAATTGTCGCTACGATTGGCATCAAACTCCTACCCATGTAATTGTATCCATTTATGCCAAAAAGTATCATTACAGGCTTAGTAAAGTCGAAGTGAATCCAATACGATTACATGTGAATCTTGTATTTCCTGAACAGGAAGACGCACAGTTCGATTTGGAACTGGAATTGCGTGGGGTAAGTGTATTATTTTGTGTTGTGTATTCTCTCTAACATGAACAAATTTCAGATAATTGATGTCAGTAAAACTACAGCCCATATGTATGGCACCAAGTTGGAGATTACTATGCCAAAAGCGGAACCTGGTTCATGGTCGAAATTGGATTTCCCACGTGAAAAATTGCCACCTGTGCTAAAGCCAAATGAAAATAAAATCAATGCTTCCAATCAAAGAAAGAGCTCAGAATCTGACGATGGTTTCAATTTGGATGATATTGAAACGGTGAATACTGGCATCAGACTCACGGATATAAGTGATAACAAAAACCATTTGGACTAGAAATATTTCGATTCATCTTGACTGCTGGAACATATTCTTTAAAGTTATTTTTGCCAAAAAACTTCCGCTAAATATGTAGGCATTTACATGTATTCGAGTTTATTGAATGTTGATTTTTCATTTACATACCTATTCCGAAACCGCATTAAACCGTTTAATAGATGAGTAAGCCAATGTATTAAATTTTATTTTATTTCCTTCGGAATATGACCATAAGGTACCTTTAACAATTATATTTAATCATCATCGGCGCCGGGCACCCAGTCTTCATCATCTGAGTCGTCATCGTCATCGTCACCCAACTCCAAATCGCCGATATCCTGAAACAGGGTTTCGTCGATTTTGACATTTTCAATTGATTCGCCAGCTTCAAGCAAGAATTTAATATCGGACTCGTTGAGTGTAGTGTCACGCATGAACAATTCCCTGCCGGTCAATTTTTTGCTGTCACTGTTCTTTTCCCGTTTCGCTGCTATACCTGTGCTTTCCTCAAACTCTGTCCTCCATTTGAGGAATGACTCGACAGTAACGCGTGTACCTTCGAATTTCTTTCGCTCAGCCTCTTCCGATTCATAAAGTTTGCGAGCGCGTTCCTCTTCCTCATGCAATTTGTAATCGTCCCAACGTTCATTCAACCACTCTTGCGCGCTACTCACTAGTGAAAATATCATTTCCATTCCAATATTTTCATCAATAATATTTTTTAGGTGCTCCAATAATTTCGTTTCGTAAAGTTCTTCCATATTTACTGGGTCTTCTATAGACACATCGGGCGCCTGATCCGGGTAAGAGGGCGTATATGTAAATACCAATTTGCAAGCCATTCCACTCGATTCTTCTTCAGCGTTATACTGCTCTGTGCCAATGGTGATGCTGAATTTGTGAAAAGGATCCGTCTCTAGCACTGTCCAAAACAAAAACAAAATTAGTATTGCAAAACCTTATTGAAATTTAATCAATAGACCTTCCATTTCACTGTAATATATAGACTCCAGCGCTTCAATTTCATTTGATTGATCTTCCTTATGATTTCTGCTCATTTTTGCTAATTTTAAGGAGTACTCTACTGAATGAAGCGGACAAGTTATTTTACAAACAAAATTGGAAATAAGTGCATTGACGTTGCAGCTGTTTATTTTAAGGTTAGTTTACATCACATTGCCTTGCCATATTTTCCAATGTTGTGCTGATTCTTCACGAGCTAAATGATGAACAAATTTTATACTGGGTTCTTAATTTTTTAAAATGTATAATTACATAAATTTTGGTACATTGCTTCAAATAATTACCGGGAACGTTATAAAATTAAAAAAGGAAATTAAATTTTATGGAATTAGCCATACGCAGATATGGCAATACCTCGAAAATTGCGCACTTTCTTTACCCTATTTGACATTTCCAATTGTCACTATTTGTCAACTTTCAGGTTACGATTTTCGATTGGAATTGTTGGCTGCTAGGAGATTTCGATAGCCCCGTGAAGAGGTAATTTTTCTATAAATTAATATTTAAATACAGAATTTCAGAATTTCCTTTGTAACAAAACTCCACAAATGCGATACCATTTAAAGACAAATGTAAGCATTCAAATCCGTTTCCGTTGCAGATTTTTGGTGGTTGAACGCAAATTACATAACGCAGTACTAACTCATCACAATGTCCCAAGCTCCAGTACGTGTATCGCCATTGATTAAATTCGGCCGGTGGTCTTTACTACTTGTAGGCGTAGGCTATGGTGCCTTCCATCAAAACAGATTATCAAAGAAGGAAGTAAAGGTGCGCGAAATCGAAGCACAACAAAAGGAGGTGCGCGATGCTAAATTGGCCGAAGAGAAGAAACGTGCGGCTGATGCGGAAGCTCGTGCTCTGGCGGAACTCTCCAAGCCAACTCCAAAGAAATAAACCATTTCCACCCGAAGGATTTATAGTATAGATTATGCTCACCACAATCGAAATGATGCGAAGTTAATAAACAAAATATGTAATAACATCAATTGATTGTGCATGCCAATTTTTGGAAATCGTGACATTCAAGGCTTATATTTCGCAGTACTGCGACCGGTGTTTATTAATTCTTATTTAAAACAGACGGATTTTTGAAATATATGTATGGTGTATGTGATGGATTTAAAGAAATCGTCGGTGAACTATTTGTGAAAGGTACTTCGTTTATCATCCGAGGAATATCTAGATTTAGCTACGTAACACCATTGTACACTCAAATAAGATGCCATTTAATATTTTAGAGTTCTGTAGAAATTTTGCTTGGTAGATGAGCGTACAAAATATGTAACCATTTTCATGAGGTTTTAAAATTCAATAATGGGATGATTAAGGATTTTGTTATTGCTATAGCCACAACTGCGGATAAGTACTGTTTAAATGAAACTAGGAGACGGCGTATGATAGTCTAACTTGCTATCGTGGTCAAAAAACAGCAATTTCAGTAGTTTTTAATTAAATATTTAGTCATCCGTTATTGAGAGAGTTCATTTTTCTTTACTTTTGTGTTGCGTTAGTTACATCAAATATCTTAATTGCAGTTATGCAGTTTTATTAATTAAGCGAATGCTCTAATCAGAAAACCCGCAACTACTTGTCAAATTCGTTTCCAATAAGATATCCACAGCTGATTGCAATCATGCAGTCAAGTTCCAGCTTAGTATTGCCATATCTTTTCGAAATGTAGAAATAAATAATTATGCAAATACATTTAAAAACTAGTCTGGCAGCGTTCTGATACTCAACTACCTGCTTGTTGAAATCCCGCGAAATTGCAGTTTTGAGTGAAAATTGTTGGATCAATAAAACTAAAGTATATTTCGCCTAATTTATTTGGAGCAAAATTAATCAATACATGTAGCATGGCGAACAGCTCGCTTTTTGGTGGTTTTAATGCAGTAGGAGGTACCAAAAATAGCAACAACCAAGTTAAGCAGCCTGTGCAGTATGCAACGCCAGGGCCCTTCACAAAGTCAAAACTTTTTCAGGATTGTCCGGAAGCGGATATACGTGTGCTCAAGGAAGCAGCCGCCAAAGTCGTTGCCCAACCTGGTAAGCTATTTACCATGTACATAACACTTCTTAAATTTGATTTGTCAATTACATAATTTCGCTGTAGCATCGGTTTTACTGCACTCGCCCTTATCGACAAAATGGTCGCATTTAACAACAGGCTGTTCCGCTTTGGATAACTGTTTACGAGGCGGTATCGTAACGCGTGGTATAACAGAAATTTGCGGGGCTTCGGGTGTTGGAAAAACACAATTGCTTCTGCAATTATCTTTGACGGTACAACTACCTACTCATCTTGGCGGTTTGGGCAAAGCAGTTGCCTTCGTTTGTACTGAGGACGCATTTCCTTCAAAGCGTCTATTTCAATTGGCCAAAGTATTTGAAAAGCGTTTCCCCGAAAACCAAACCAACTATATGGGAAATATTTTCATAGAACATGTATTAGAGGCGGTAAGAGTAGTGGATATCTAAATGCTTTTATACCTGTTTCAATTCTCTCTTTCTCTCGATGCCACAGGATGACCTATTGCAGTGTGTGGGCGCCCGATTGGCAAATTTAATGGAATCAGTAAGCATTGGCCTTATTATAATAGACTCAGTGGCAGCAATTTTTCGCACTTACAACAACTACATTAAGCGTGCGCGTGACATGCGCAACCTAGCCAACCACCTGCTGCACTACGCTGATAAATATAATTGTGCGGTGGTTTGTGTGAATCAAGTATGTACCTAATTAATATGTATGCTGATCAAATAATTATTGTCAATTACTTTGAATTTGTAATCAAATCTTTAGGTCGCCACTGCGAGTGATGCCGCAAAAGAAACACCATGCTTGGGTTTAGCTTGGGCTCATTTAGGGCGAACACGCATAAAACTATCCAAAGTGCCGAAAGAAGTAAAAATCAATGATGATTTATTTACAATACGCCGATTCGAAATTGTATACTCGCCAGATACACCAAATGAAGTGGCTGAGTTTTTAATAACTGCCGGTGGCGTGGTCGATGTTCCTGTATAGTCAAAATACAATCATCCAAATGCACTTGTAAGTAAGACTTAAAATTTGTATTTAATTAATATATTTATTTGCCCTTTCGCATATGTAATTTTGTTATTCGCATAGTTATTGTTAAGCTTATAATGCTCATGTTTTGTACATTCAATAAATAGTTAAAGTTTGAATAATGTAATTTAATACATTCAATATTTGTAAACACGTACAATTGCACACACAACTGTGTGTGTTACAAACTATTTTTTATTTTATTTTTATCGAATAAATTGAAAATGAACTCCCACGTAAGCAAAGTTCGGCTTGGGTAAGAATTGTGTTGTTGCTGCAGCCTGTAGGTTCATAAATACGTACATGCAAATTGCCATACATTCATATCACACCCTAAATCAAAAACAGGCACATAAAGAAGGTGGTGAAGAAGAAATTATAGCAGGCTTAGATGTATGATCTGTGAATTGTTTTATGCATATAAGTCAAGCTTGAAAAATTTTCATTTGTGACTATTTTTGATTCAGGGTGTGATATGCTCCTGCAGCTTTTTCGTATACATTAAATTTTTTTGTCTTCCTAATTCTTTTACATATTTTCATTTATCACATTACACCCAAGTTAACATCGATTTCGTTTACTTTCATTTTCCCTCTTCAATATCTTCAATAGTATGTACTTGCATTTCTATAGTGTTCATATTCGAATTTCGTGTGTATAGTTTAGTTAGATATTATATTTACAATTACATAATAATTAAGATAAATTTGTATATTTTACTTTTTTAAGCGGATTTATGGCAACACTTAAGCAACAATTGAGCGTTCCTTAACACTTACCTAAGTTGATTAACTGCAGCGAAATGGGAAAATGATATACTATGTACAAGTATGTGTGTACATGTTTACACATCTACTTTTCAATAAGCAAAAGTATTAGCAAAACTATATATTTAAATTTAATTCGATTGTTCAATGTTTGTTTATCTTAACTCTTACACATCTATGTATGTATGTAATACATAATATGTATGCACATCCGTGTACGTACAACATTATTCAGTTTAACTTAAGGTACTAATCTATCCATTCATTAATTGAGCTTCTTTCCTGCGCCCACAGTTTGTTCTGTAAGCCAGTTACATACATACATACTTAAATTCAAGAAAAAGTATATTTTGTTCATTTTTGTGTTCTATTTAATTTTTGGCACAGTTCAATTTGACTGGAAGTTCGCTTCACAAAATCTTCCTTTTTAATTTTCAACATCGCGCATCTCTGCATCCTTGTCCTCCTCATGCTCTTCGTAATCATGTTCATCGATAATTGGCGACTTTACATCTGTTTCCTGTTCCATCACCATCTCTTCTTTTGCCATATCTGCCCCACTTTCTTTCTCCACCTTTAGCTGGTTTTCTTCGCTTGTCTTTGCTGCTGTACTCGTTGCTTTTTGCAACTCTTTCTCGAGGCTACTACCATTTCGTCTTCCAGCTGCATCCGTTCTATCCACATTCAATTTGGCACTGAGTAGCGCATTCGATATTTTCGAGGCGGCCAATTTGCTTTCGAAATCCATGTCGCTAAAGTGCAGTGGACTATGATTGCTGGCAGCGCGCAACAGGCTTAATTGCAGTTCCCGATGCTGTGGCGATTCCTCTAATTTGATTTCGAGTTTCTCTGTCTGCTCCAAAGGTGCGGCTGGCTCAACAGTCAGCGGGATGGCGTGTTGTCGATGATGAGCATGCGAATGCGAGTGATGGCCAACACGATGGTGGTGGTGGGGGTGATGGTTGTGCTGTTGTTGTTGTTGGTGATTATGCGGATGTTGTTGTGCATTCTCTACGTTTTTGTTGCTCGACTTCCCACTGGTACCTGCAGTTTTCGGTGTTGTTACGCTGTCGCCTCCTCCACCGTTGACCAGTGCTGCGCTGTTGCTGTTTACACTCGCTGCCGTTGAATTTTTTGCGGTTTTCTCCAGTAGCGCATTTAGTTGTTTTTTGATTTTGGTCGCTTGTTTTGCAGTCAATTTGGCGCTTAATTCGCTCGTGGCTGTGGTGCGATGTTTTTCATTGCTGCCACCAATGTTTGGGGCGCTGTTATTTGTATTGTTGTTGTGGTGGTGCTGCGATTTTTTTCCCGACGTTTCCATTGCTGTTGTTGCAGCAGTAGCACTGGAACTCGTTGATGCGGTGCTGCTCTGGGTTTTACCGTTGTTTTCAGGTGCATTTTTTGAAGGGTTTGTGGTCTTGTGTTCGGCGACCTCGGAATTGGAAATGTTATCCTGTTTCTTCCACTTTGTTCTACGATTTTGGAACCAGATTTTCACCTAAAGGAAATAGAAAGACAAAAATTAGGATTAGCTAAACATATACATATGTATGTTTTGGTATATATTAGATTTGACCCAACTAGGACAATGGATTAAAATAGGATAATTTAGCAATTTATATAATCTGAGTCTGCATAATACTTAAATGGCATGTGATCAACGAATTCTTTCAGTTTCAAGCGTTTTCATTGATCTCAGAAAATTATATTGACCGCAAAAGGAAATCACTCATTTTCTTACGTGTAATTAGAATGGAAAACTAAAGGCTCGACGCGGGACCTCTTACGATTCTCATAGAGAGGGGAGATGCATGGAGGATCATTACTATACCACACGCTAAGATTTGAGTCTTGTCCATGTCGCATTGCAGGATTGTTTTTTTTTTGTTGATGTGGTCTAATGTACATATACAGTTTATGTACATATTTAATAATGTTTAGAATATAGAAATTACAAGTTTTGACTATCAGTAGCTATTCTTTCCTTATTGCGACCAAAACAGTTAAAGCTTTCGATAATAGTGACAGTAACGATGAAAACATATACCGCAGGATAAGCTTTTTAAAGCTTTCTAAATATTTTATACGGACGCTCAGGGTGAAAGCTTTCTGTGGTCGTCATTGTTCTATATCAGTGGCGACTGAAACGTATTTTGTGAGAGAAGCTTTTTGAAGACTATGAACTCGCGGCGATCGTCACTGACCTATACAGTAAGCATTAGTAAATCCGCTTAAGGAAGGCCTGATTCCTGGAAGTCCGAGTTATTTCAGAAGAGTTCTCTTACAAAAAAATCACATTTTAACAAGAAGTATTTAAATATATATGTACATAAATACAAATATACTTCGAAATACTTAACACCTCTAGCCATACATATTTCATGCCTAGGTATTTTCATAACCCAAATATTTTACAAATGTGCGAACATTTTTTCATACGAAAAACAAGTAACTAAGCAAAAAAGCACAATAAATTATAAAAAATTCTTCTTCAGCTCCTGCCAAACATCTCAATAGCTTGTAAAACAGCAGTGTAAAGTAAAAAATTATAAATAAACAAAGAATGAATGATGAACCACGAAGCTAAATTCAAAATTGTATGAGATGTTATACCTGAAAGTGATGAGCATTTCCTGTTGACACACGAACATACAGCATTGATATATGTGTGTATGAATGTGTTAGGAAATAAAATCTGTCAAGAAAAACATTCGTGTGGAAAATTATGGGCGAGAAAATAAAAGAAATAAAAAGAAAAAAATTAAGAACTGCGCAGAAATGAATAATTCAAGAAAAGTGCTGCAATTAAATGAAAACCAATGTGACGTGAGATGAGAGGGTCTAAACATGTAAATCTCAATCTCACATACTCGTCGGCCTGAAGAATGTCAAAAATCTATATAGGCTTCTTAAAGTGCACAGAAAACCCTAAGAAACGTAGTTGGCAATATCGAGCCCTGACCGCCAAAATAACGTAAGCGACATTTTTTTCAAAATTTTCTCTTTGATGCATCAAAAAGAAAATTTTGAAGAAAATTTCGCTTACGTTATTTTGGCGGTTAGTGCTCGATATAATCGGCCGATTCTTAATAACACCGCGCCTGTTTGATCAACGGAGATTAGGAGGACGCAGTCGGTGAAGCTTTCGACTTGTCAGAACACCGCACTCCGTAAGGCAGAGGCAACGAGATGCCTAAATTTCTTCTCGTTTGATACCGCACGAAGCATCCGAACATATACACACTTGTTGGCACAACGTGCAGGCAGACCTACATCGTACAATTGCTAGACATGACATTTCCGCCAAGATATTAACGACAATCAACGAGAAACAGTCAAAAGATACCTGTTAAAAGCGCAAGCCTTAATATTAAGTTTAAAAGGTCGCGCATTGCGGATTTCTATTTTCCATACAAATAACTTAGAAAAAAATTAGATGTTCTACAAAAAAGTCTCATATTTTTTTGATAAACCTACTGGTTTAACAACTATTCAAACTTAAAGTTGTTAAATTTATGTCATTATTACAACTTTTTCTCCTAATTTAGGTAAAATAATTAAAGTTATTTTCAACTATAAAAAAAAAAAAAAAACATTTAAAAATTGAAATTGTAAAGTTTGCAAATTAATTTTAGTAAAAAAACCCTATTTTGAGGAAATATTAATTAAAATCCTTTCTATTGTATTGAGTTATGTTCGGAAGATTGTTTTATACTTTTTTCACTATTTAATGATAATTTAAATTATTTTACCTAAAATAAGAGAAGAAACTGTAATAATGACATACATTTAATTTTAAGATTGAAAAACCAATAAATCAGTAGGTTTATTAAAAGATGATCAGAGGCGCTTTTTGTAGAGCGTCTAATTTCCTACAAAAATGTGTACCGCACTTTTCAGTACGATAATTCAAAGAAGAGAAAACAAATTCCAAAGTTGAAAACAATTTATTTCTAGATATTTTATGCACATGCTTACAGTGACGAGCAAAATTGTAACATGATGTAACACTTTTTATTTCAGCCACCGCTATCTTTCAAAGTTCTAACGACTTTCATACTTTTGTTGTATATTCTTATTGGTACACCCCTACTCCCGCTCTCATAACGATTTGAGGTCAATCCAACAACAATAAAAAAACCTGGAGACAAAAATGTAAATTAAGGCAGATGTTACAGTTTTGCACACACTCTCAGTTTTGCATTTTACAGTTATCTTTTGCTTAGTTGGAAGTCAGATGACTTTTTTCTGTATTGTAATTTATTCAAGAAGTGATCACCAATAAATAATATGGTTAATCAGGAAACATAAATGCAAATAATAGATTTACTGCGGAAAGGCGGGACCGCAGGGAAAGTGGCAAAAAATTGCGAAGTTTGCCACATGAAAATGTTAAGACTGAGAAAAAATATAGCCTAAAGTGTTACTAAGGACAAAGGAAGTCTGTCAAAATATATTACAGTCCGATATCTTGTGAACTTAGTAGCAAGTAGCGAAGCAGCCACTACTACAGAAGCGCTTAAGGTATTAAAATTGAATGCAAATCAGTAGACAGTGAGGCGAAAAATTGCCAAATTGAGCGCAATGGATCATAAAAGAAGAAAAAAGCAAATTTGATCAAAATACATGTGCGAGTGTGGCAGCGTTTTGCTGCATCGCACGAAAACCGGACCGTTGCCTATTGGGATATGCCTTACAGAATGCAATAAAAAACACATTTTTAAGATTTAATTGAGGGTTATTTGGACTAACAAGACTTAACTAATCGCTTTCAATCAGATAGCCGGGCATGGTATTGAATCAAAGACCCAAATTAAGCCTAAGCGCATCATGTACTGCAAACTGTGAATCACAGTGGTAGGATCTTAATTGCTTGGGGTTGTATTTCAAAAATTTTGTTGGTCCGTTAGTACGCATTATGCGTAAGGAACAGTATCTGTTCATGTTTCAACAAAATTTGAACTATGTAGTCGAAAAAATTAGAGTTTCTGCTGAAAAATCAACCAAAATGCACTGCACATGTTCGCAAAGACTGGAACAAAAGAAAAAATTTGCCAATTTGAAATGACCTCCACAATCCGAGGACATGAATCTCATCGGGAATTTGCGAAATCAGCTAAAAGCGCAGCTTACTAAATATCCAAGTCCGTCCAATGGAGTACATGAGCTGTGAAAGCAAACCAAGGATATATGGGAGGCTATACCTCCAGAACTTTTACAGAGATACCCATTAGGTATGCCAAATTGCAACCAGGAACTAAAAAAAGCAAAAGAATACTGAACATTGTGTTAATAATTCTTTTTTTTTGTAAAAATTGTCAAAAAGTTGTTAAAAATATATGAGTGCAAAACTGTAACATTTGCCTTAATTTACATTTTTGTCTGCTGGTTTTGTTAATGTTGTTGAATTGACTTCAAATCGTTATGACAGAGGAAGCAAAGATGTACCAATAAAAATATACAACAACAGTATGAATGTCGTTAGAACTTGGAAAGATAGCGACGGCTGAAATAAAAAGTGTTACTCCATGTTACAGTTTTGCTCGTCACTGTATATGGAAAATAGAAATCCGTGTTGCGCGACCTTTTAAACTTAATATTAAGGGTTGCGCTTTTTACAGGTACCTTTTGACACCCCCGGAGGTATTGAAGAGGTTTGAAAAAAAATTCGTAAATTTTTTTGAATCAGTTTAATAAATATTGAATTATCGAGAATTAAGTTAATTAGCTGCAAAACGGACTCTGCTTAATTTTGCGAGAGAGGGTTTTGGTAAAGGTAATGCTTTGCCATCCAGAAACACTGCCGGCACGCATAAAGTAGTAGTTTTCAAAAGAAAGGTTGAAACACATAGCAAGGCGACCTGGAGTACCTCTATCATGGAGAGATACATCCATGCGAGCCCACTAAAGTGGTATACTGATGGCTCCAAAACTCCTGAGGGTATTGAAGCAGACGTTTACGGCCCCAGGCTGAAACTCTTGGTGCCACTAGAAACCTTTCAAAGCATCTTTAAAGCGGAAGTATATGCCATCAGTTGTGCGCAGAGGTTAACCTGCGAAGCGGGAGGATAGTAATTTTAGGCGACAGCCAGGCGACACTCAAGGCTCTTTCATCCTACGAGATCAAATCCTCAGTGGTCTTGGCGTGTATAAAGAGGCTTAATGCTCTGGCTGAGAACACTACCATTCAATTGCGTGGACAGGCTGCTGCCTCTACTCCGATAGCACGGGCCCTTTTTTAAGTCGGTCTCAACACGATAAAGGAAGCTCTTAGGAACGAAAACATCTACACATAACATAAAACTTAATTACATTACTGATAATTTTAAAGCAAAATATATAAAATCCACAGAAACTTTGACGAGTAAAAAAGCGGTACAAAATTGTTTTCTTGGCGTTCATTGTGGTATACCTTTTGTGTCTGGCGCTTTGCTGCCAAAGTTATAAATGTCACGCAAAGCTACAAAGTTTTATCTGGCATCAGCTTAAGATTTCAAT